AGCCTTCCACAACTCACTTGTGAATCTGACATCCCTGTCACTAACAATAGACTTAGGAAGCCCAAAGTCCCTGACCAAGTTCTCCTTGAACAGTCTAATCACATACTCCATTTTAGCTGTTGCAGGCATAGCGACTAACCTGGCATACTTATTAAACCTAGCCACAATGACATAGACATAGCGCATTCCACTCTTGCTGGTGACCAGTGTGTCCATGAAGTCCATGGACAGGCTCTCACCGGGTTTTTCCGGTATCGGAAGGGGCTTGAGAAGCCCAAGAGGGGCCTGTGTACGTTGCTTGTCTCTCTGACATACCTGACGGGTTTCCACGTACAGCTTGGCGCCTCTCATCATTGTGGGCCACCAGAACTGCTGCAGCAAGTTGGCTGCAGTCTTTTTATAACCAAAATGTCCTGTGGCATCATGACATTCACCTAGAAATAAACTACGCAAAGACTCCCGATTGGGCACACACAAACGTTCATTCCCGGCCTTGTCAAGGAACAGCAGGCCGTTGACCAACTCAAACTCCGCTGAAGTTGTTTTGTCCTTCGCCTCGAGTCTACGTATCATCTCGGCCATAAACGGATCCTCGCGATAGGCTTCCACCAAAGAACGAGTAACATCGTCCGCAAGCCCAAACTCAGTGATCAGCGCACCGGAGAAATCTGGCCTACGCGACAGCGCATCAGCAACTTTGTTGTACTCACCTTTGAGGTACTGGGGCTCGAAGTCATACTGCTCAATGACTTCGATCCAGCGTTTCAGCGCATCAGAGAACACAGGCTGGGTTCTCTCATCCACTTCAGGGTCTGATGATCAGACCAGACGTAGAAAAAACGCCCAAGGAGGTAGTGCCTCCAATGAGTTAGCGCTTTGTAGATCGCGTACAGCTCCTTCTCATCGGTGGACTTAGCCAACTTCTAAGAGGGCATCTTTTTGGACATGTACTCCACTGGCCTCAACTTTGGCCCCTCTTGCTGCGCGAGCACGGCGCCTATGCCATATTGGCTAGCATCCGTGGTTACTATAAATGGCTTGTCAGGATCAGGAAGTTTCAAAACCTCATAGTGTGTCAGAGCATGCTTCAGATGGCATTCTAGTGTTTAGCAAGCCCTTAGAAAAACACGTAGAGCATTCGCAGACAGTCCTGTCAAAGCTAAAGGAGAAATTGTTGATAGAGTAACCGATGTCGAAAAAATTGTGGATAGAGTACCCAACGATGAAGAAATTGGTGATAGAGTAGAGTACCCAATGTTGAACAAATTGGTGATAGAGTACCCAACGTTGAAGAATTTTTTGACAAAGACTGTACATTGTCCTTCCAAAAGTTGAAGAAATTGCTATAGAGTACAAAATGTTGAGGATCGCAGACCCATCCCTACCGTTCATAGTTACAACGGATGCAAGTCGGTATGGAAAAGGGGCTCTGTTACAGCAAGACGATGGAAATGGATACCGCCCTGTAGAATTCATGTCCAAGCCGATGCCCTTGGAGAAAGTAGCGGTATCTACCTACAGAAGAGAACTATATGAATTGTACAAGGCGCTGACAACGTGAAGACACAATCTCTTAGGAAGGCACTTCGAGGTTTATCCAGACCATGAGACACTACGATGGTTGAAGACAGGCAAAACCAAAGCCGAAGCTAGCAAATTCGGCATAGAAGATATAGACGAGTTTGATTTTAAACTCAGGTCGGTGAAAGGTAAGTATAATATACAGTAGTCAATGTGTTATCTCGGAGAGTATATCACTTCTGCGCTGTAGTAAGTTACCAAGATATAGATGTAGCTCAGGACCTCGATATAGTAGATGCAGCTCAGGACCTCTAACAAAAGATGAGGGAGGCATATGACAAGGACCCCATACTCCCCTGTACTGAGTGAAGAGATTCATAGAGTAAACGATGGTTGATTGGCGGCCTAAGTTGTTCTTCAGGGCTCGTAGACCCCAATGTCGCTTAAAAAAACACGAACCGGGGCAGGTAGGCCCATCAATGGGCAAAAAAAAGAAGCGCCCAATCTTGGCTGCTGATCTTTGTTGATTGGCGGCCAAGATCGGCCGCAATTCAAATGGGAGCAGTCGCTGAACTTCGGTGCGAAAGGCTACTCCGCCCCGCACCCCTTCGTCCCAAGTCTCCTACCCTGCACCGTGTGACCCCGCCATGTTGTTCGCCCGTTGGTTGTCCTTGAGTCGCTCCGTGCTGCTGTCTGCCACGCGAGCCCGCCATCGGGACTCCAGGTGTGTGTGTGTGTGAGAGAGAGAGAGAGAGAACTGCGAGCCTCCTCTCTTCTACTCCTCCTCCTCCTTCTTCTCCTCCTCCTCCGCCACTACCTCCTCTCCTGTTCATCATCATCATCGTCAACTTCTCCTCCTCCTCCTCCTCCTCCTCCTCCTCCTCCTCTTCTTCCTCTTCCTCTTTCTTCTTCTTCTTCTTCTTCTTCTTCTTCTTCTCCTTCTTCTTCTTCTTCTTCTTCTCGTCTTCTTCTTCTCGTCTTCTTCTTCTCCTTTTCTTCTTCTTCTTCTCCTCGTCCTCCTCCTCTTCTTTTTCCTCCTGTCCTCTGTTTATCCTTTCATCACCCACTGCCCTTTGTTTTTTGTTTTTCCTTTTATCAGGGAAAAGTCAACCCCGTCCATAGACAGAAACCCCAACCCTGCCCCCCCCCCACACGCCCGGCGTCACGATGCGAAGTAGAAAAACCCTCCACCTCCCACTCTTCTCCTCCTCCTCAGCGTCTTTTTTTCTTCTCCTCTTCCTCTTCTTCTTAATCCTCCTTTCCTCTTCTTATCTTTTCCTCCCCCGTTCCCCTTTCGTTTTTTTTTTTTTGGAAGAAAGCTACAAAAGTGTTGAACAGTCCCCATTCTTTTTTTTTTTCCTGAGAGAAGTTCAGAAAACCCCTACCCCTCCTCCGCCTCGTACTCTTCTTCTCCTCCGCCGCCTCGTACTCTTCCTCTCCTTCTCCGCATTGTCTTCTTCACCTTCTCCTCTTTTTCTTCTTCTTCTTCTCGTCTTTGTGCGAGGTGCAAGGCCTCGGTAAGCCCTACTGGGCCCTTTCTGCAACAGCATCGGCCGCCCTAAGTGAAGGCAGGGCCGACGCATTTTGGACTGCCACACACCAAGGGAAAATTCAGGCAGTTGCACAGCGCCAATTGGTTGAAAGCGCCCGGGCCCAGGCTGCCTTTATCGTATGTAACTAAGGCAGGCCCTGGGCCAGATACGCAACATGGAATGAACACAGGCTGAGGACAGTTGGGCCTGGGTAACCGCCACAGGCCCTGGGCCTGATTCGTTTGGACTGAGGCTCAGCCTCTTGGGGCCTACCAGAAGCTTCCAGGCCGGGACCCAGTGCAGCCAGGCCGCACACAGCAGGCAGGCCACTTCCATTTAGGAAAGGGCCTGCCTCCGCATTTGGATTCGGGCACTGGCTGCATGCTGCGCAAGCGCTGCTGCGCTATACGCTGGCCAGAGCCCGCGCGCTCACGGGCGAGCAGGGAGAGCAGGCAGCCATAGCCAAGCTGCGCTGCTGTATGCTGGATGGGGCGCATGGTGGTCCTTGGGTGCATGTGGCATCTGTGAGTGGGGGATCCAGGTTGTGAGTGATACGAGAGACATACCTGGTGCTTGAGGCGATCGGCATTGGCCAAGATCTGCTCGTACTTCGGGGAGCTGTTGACGTCACCAGCGGCATCGTAGATAGGCTAGATAGGATCTGCTATTTGTAGTCTGGGCGCCGAGCGCCAGATAGGAAGTCGACATTGGTTCTTTGTTGATGATGATGAGACTATTCCAACATTGTCACTTATGAGCTTTTGCTGTGCTCGTATTTGTTGGAACTCGTGTTGCAATTCTGCTTTTGGTTCGAGGTCACGACTATCTGGTTACATGTGTATGATACTGCTTGGTTTCTGAAGTTCGCTATCGCTCATTTTCCTTGCATTTGTCTTCTCCCTCCTCTCTCTTCAATTCCTTCCTCCTCACCTGGTGTTTCCCTCCTTCCTCTCCTGGTAGCCTTAGCCTCAGCCGCATCTTCTCACTCCTCTCCTCTTCATTTCCTTCCTCCTCCTCTCCCGGTGTTTCCCTTCTTCCCCTCCTGGTAGCCATAGCCACCATCACTAACACCTCCTGTGCCTCCACCCCCACCACCCCGCCACTGGATAATAGTTTTTAAGTTCACCGTTTTCTTTGCGGACTCCTAGTGTTCTCGCCGAGTGCAGTCAAACCCGGCTTTCAAAAAAAAATAAAAATTATAATAATAATAAAAATTGGACCAGTTTTGAGCCCAACTGGAATTCCTTATGGACGACCTGGGTCGATCCAGCCTGGTTGCATCCAGGCCGGGTCAACCGCCCGGTTGGCGGCCCAACACTGGTGGCCCAACACTGCTTCAATGACGTTACGAAGACGGAGCCAGGTATCCGGCTTTCCTCGCACAAATTGTGTGGAGTTCTTGCTCTCGCACATTATTTTGGATTCTACATTCTTTCAGGTATATTGAAATCATTTTATTTTTTAATAAATTTTCATTTTAATTTTTTATTTTGTAGAGAGGTGGTCCCAGACGCCGAGAAGCGTCATGGGATAGTAGAGGTAGGACTCGTAGGAGTATTTATTGAGGAAGAGCGTACGCTCCCATACAGACTGAGCAGCATTGAGGGGGTCTGTTGTACGGGCGTGACCGTACTCTGATGATGTGGTATAGCTGTGAGATGTAATCCTCAACTACATTATCATTTTCTTCATTTTCAAGTCTGTGTGCTGCACTGCTGATGCTCTGAAATTGACTCCTATGTGGCTGGACACCTGGAGGAGACTCTGTGAGTGAAAATCTAAGACACACATGGCCTTACCTCACAACAGAGGCGAGGGGGGAAAGGGCTTGGGCCTCACGGGGAGGAGGAAGGATAGCATTGCATACAAAAAAACTAAGAGAGGTAGTGGGGAGATAACAGACTGCATATGCATGATCTTCATAGGGTGCGTAAGTCAAATACAAACCTCTTGCTCCTTGGAAAGTTCAAATGCAAGTCTTTCTCGAAGGTTATATGCTGCATGGTACAGATCCTCCAGTACACGTTCTGTTACTTGCCGTAGGTTAACGCGCCATAAGTAGAAAGTTCGTGCTGGGGCGTGGTCAGCTGTCTTTGCCACCTCCTGAACAAGGAGATAGGTCCACACGCAGACACAAACACATAGACACGTAAATCAGGGGTTGGAGAGAGGCAGATACGCACATGCACCCACATTCTTGCACCATGAGAGAGAGAGAGAGGGAGGTAGAGAGAGAGAGTAAGCCAGCCTCTGTGTGTGTGTGTGCGTGTGCGTGTGTGTGTGTGAGAGAGAGAGAGAGAGAGGGAGGGAGAGAGAGAAAGAGTAAGCCAGCCTGTGTGTGTGTGTGTGTGTGTGTGTGTGTGTGTGTGTGTGTGTGTGTGTGTGTGTGTGTGTGTGTGTTAGATTTTCCCCACAACAGCCCCAATTCCAC